GGGAGGGAAACGTTTGGAAACTTGCGCGAGGGCGGCTGCCTTCCCGGTCTGAGGAGCGACTGTGAGCGGTCGCCGCGCTAAAAAAATAAAAATAATAAAAAAAATTGCCTTGCGCGGGATGAAAACGCGCGATGGGCGCAAACGCTTTTCAGAGAGCTGCTGCCGCGCGGTGCGAGCGTGGGGCTGGATCGGCGCGATTTGAAAGCCAACAGGGGAAACTGCCCAGCGCCTCACAGGGGCTGGGAATTTGGGGGCGCGTAAGCAGAATCCGAGCGAAGCGCTTAGAAAACGTTGGTAGTAGCAGGGTTTGTATGTTAATTTTTGTGTGTAAGCTATTAGAGTCTTAACAGTTTGTAAGTCTTGAGTTGTTTCTTTGCTGTGGGTCTGGAGAGGTATAGCAAAACTAGAAAGGTGGTTTTATAGATGATTATGTGCCCATTAGATGGCTGTATTTCTGGTTAAAGAACTATTAAATGTTGTTTAACTGTGGTATTCCTTTATTTTCCAAAGAAATCGTAATTCTACCGAACAATAATTAAATAAGGATGTTGGGATTTGATCTTCAGGGGTCCTATAACTTTAGAGAACAAAAGTGAGAATTTAAACGAGGAAGAACGCTTGTCTACCAGCAAGGCCCAGGCTTTGACTTTTTTTAGGTTTACTTTCTTTTTCTCATGGAAATAGCTCCATAATACACAATGGTAAAAATACCTGCGCTGGTTGGAAGTTCCTTGCACCGAACTGTCTAAATAGACATGAGCAAAGGCATCGGCAAGAATTGCGTGCTGCCTCTTAAAGTCATGATAACGTTTAGGTCATCCCTGCATTTTTCAGCTTTGTAACATAAAATGCTTCTGTGCATCTATTACAAAGGTCTTTTTCATCGTGTATGCAAAGTGTCCTAGGTTCTGTAACTGTAGCTGTACGTAAATGATGAGGTTTTCACCTTACTGTGCCTATAAAGAGGATACTATCACTTTTGGGCAATAGCTTCTCCTTTCTGAGTCTGTTACTTTATAGATTACACCAAACACATTACAGTGCTTTCATCCCGAGCAGGTTTATCTACCGAGTTAGTGGTGACCTCAAATGCTGGCAAAGTTCTCTCTTGTACTTCTACCCCTTAGTGTCGTTTTTAATAAGCATAATTGGTTTCCCCCTTGACCTTCTCCACCTCACTTAGGAAGGAGCGTTACAGGAGTCTCTGTTGTGAGATTCTGGTGTCAAAGCAAACCTCTGTGTTTTTTATCTGCTTCCGATAATCATTGCTTCTCATCTGTACTTCCTTACCTTCCCACCCTGGCAGATTCTCCTCCTTGGCTTCTTCTTTGTACAAAGAAAAATCAAGTAGTAAGTTTTTCAGGCCTTGAGTGCTATAGCAGCGTTACCACTTGAGGAAAGCTTCCAGATAAAAGTTTGAACAATAGTGCATGTATAGATGTCCTTTGCATTTGTACACAGCCACTAGCTGCATCCACATAGCTTTTTCATTCTGTTGCATGGTTAACAAAAAATGTGTACCTTCTTACCTCTTTCTGTGTTGCTATTAAATCTTCTTAGCCTTAGGGCTGGATATTAAGGCTGTATTTTTTTTTTACATGTTTTACTCTGGATAACAGCTATGGTCTTTCTGGTTTTCCCTCCCCCCAGAACAGTTACAGTTTTTGCTCTTCTTATGTAACAGCATTTTTTACTGGGGGCAGTTGAGGTTCTGGCTCCTTGTGTCCAGGTCATGGAGCCCTATTTGTGGTGGAGAGCTTGTAGGTGTAAAGAAATAGCTGGAAATATGGAGGAACAAGCATCACAAAACCAACAAGCTTGTGAGAACTGCAAGCCCCTTTTTGTGTGCACCATCTTTTAGAGTCCAACTGCAAGGCGCAGCATGTAGCCGTAGCTCCTCTTGCTTGTGAGGAAGGCCAGTGGGGTCAGGACAAAAACTGAGGTATTCACTGAGCATAGCAGTGGAAGAAGGGCAATTATAGCGTGAAGGACTGAGGAATAAAGGAAATATTTAGAAGCATTTCTCCCGTAGAAAGCCTTGTTGTTCTTCTATTTTGTGCCCTCCACAGCTAATTTTAATGGACCTTCAGGTACTGAGCAGGGTTTGGCAAATGATCCAAAGCTGGTTAATGGAATAAAAAAAAGTGTCTATAAGGCCAAAAACAGTTTCAGAAAAGTTCCAAAATTCAGAAAAAAACACAGAATAGAAGGGATAAACAGCAAGACCAAAAAAGTACGTTGCTGAATGATGAATATATTTAAAATAGAAGTGGCACTTAACAGCTTTTGTGTTATCCTCTGTTCTGTGCCTCCTTAGAGGGCTTATGTTTTCAGAACTAAGCTGTTACATACATTTCTGGGAAGTAACATGAGCCATATTTTAGCAGTAGTAGTCTATGGTGGTGTGCATCCACGTGCTGAGGGGACCTGAGCAAAAATCACTGAGGTCACTGGGCAATCTTTTGTTGATGTCAAAGGCATAGGTTTAGACAAGAGCCAGTAGACAGCCAGTGCTGCTGGTGCTTATCAGAGCGTTTACCGAAATAAGTAAAGAATATTTCATTTACTGAAAGGGTAGCAGCAAGCTCATGTTGGTAAAAAATATAAAACAGATCTTGAGGGGGCTAGAGAGGGGGATGAAAGAGAAGGTTTGACAATATAAATTCACTTGCCATTCCGAAATAGGCTCTATGCTACTGTCTTTCTTTCTTTTTGTATTCAAAAAAATACAAACTTTCAGTCACTTTCAACTTAAGTGTCCTCATCTTGCTACAAAGCCCGTGAAGTAAAAATGAAAAATAGGATGACCTAGAGGCCCATGAACCATCTGCTTGTGTCCTATTTCAGAACTGTAGGCCTGTGCTGTGAACTCTTCAGATTGTGCTTTTATACTAAAGTGATATCCAGAACATAGTTCTTGCTCTTTTTTAAGGAAATTGCAGTGTCTCTCATTCTGGGAGGAGAAGTCAGGGTAGTGGGATAGGAAATTAAAATATGCTTAAACATTTATAGTTCTGAGCTCTAAGTTCAATGCCATTTCTATAAAATGTCAGGCTGTAAAAGCCTACAGTACGGAGAGATAAAGGAATTGTTTTATACAAGTGTGTTATTCTTCTTGTTTGCGTTACGTAAAGTCACTTCCCTCTCCTCTTTGCTGACAAATTAGATGTTATTTATCAGGGGTCAGGAAACCTCCGGTCATGTATTGCAAGCATATCTGGCTTAGGGCCACTTTGGAATGGCGGCAAGGACGGAGAGTATGACTGGCTTGCTTAGACCTCCTGAAAAAAGGCTAGTATTTTGTGACTGGTAAGGAGGCAAGAAGGCAAGTATTCCTGAGCTCTCATGGCGCAATGGTAGCTGTCTAGCTTTAGATCAGAAGGCAGTGTGTGCAAATCATACTGCAGTCATGTTTTTTGTTTTGTTTTGTTTTGTTTTTTCCTATATTAGTGGTCCCGGCATAAACAGCTGTAAAGGTTTTATCTTGAAGAGGAAAGGGCTAGGTAGAGGCTAGTTTTTGCACCGCGGTAGTGGTGTTACCACTACCAAATTGTACGGTTGGGTATTCGAGTCATGCTGTGCTTGGTCTTTACCTGTCTCTTAGGAAGTTTCTCTTACACTCTAGTTTACAATTGTTACTCAGGAGACGATAGGCAGAAGAAGAGTATGGCTTTGCTAGGTCATCAGATTTTATGGTGAAATCCTAAATGGTGTTGATGTTTCTTGCAAGCAAAGGATTTACCCGTTTCTCTTCACTCACTGTACTCTAGTTCACTGAAAGCTTGTTCCACTGGAATACTTACTGGTGAAGAAACAACTTTTCTTTCATCTGGCAACATCAGTAAAAGTAATGAGTTACTATTAACAAGAAATATGTGGTGGGTGAAATGCAAACGTGGAAAGTTTCAGACTTGAGGAAGGTGGCATCCAGGTCAACAGTATCTGACAAATCCAGGGCTTCTTTGAAAGACAAGTCATTTGAGGTGAATATTAAAAACTGGGGTGTTTGTGCATGGTTTGAAATTCGAGTCTTGTATCTTGGAGGAAAAAAAGGATAATCACAATGCTAGGGAAATCTGATCCGTGATAGAGGTGTTCTGCTTTCAGTGAAATTGTTGTCTTTTGAGACTGCTTCTGAGACTGTTCATGAATTCCCTTCTTGTGAAGCTTGTTCAGTCAGCCCCTTTGTACAAGTTTCTGGACAGAAAATGGACAGGATTGAAGATCATCTTTATCAGGAATTCCTTGTGTGCACTAGCTACATCTTTTATTACTAAGTAACAGTAATGGAAAAGAGTATAATTTGCCCTCTTTGTGTTCTGCACTGGGGATAAATGCGTATTTTGTCGGAGCACCAGAAAGTCTATTGCAGATGCTTTGACTACAGAGATTGTAGTGGTGGCGTTATTTGGCTGTGTGAAGACTTTTATGTAATTTGTGGCTGCATGAAACCACCTGTCTGGCTGCTGAGTGAATTATTACGTGGATATCTAGAATTCTCTGTTTTGCAGCTATGTTTTCCAAGCATGGCTGGTAAAAGATGATACTTCTCATGCTTTTTTCTGCTCCGGCCTTGTCTCCCTGTCCTTTGCACAGTGATGGTAGAAGAGCGTTCATTGTGTAGTTACCTTCCCAAAAGGCTACAAGAGAGAAGTGGAGGTATTTGTCCTGAGTAGAAGAGGGAGAAATGTTTGTTGCTCTCAGTTTGTGGCCCACTGGTGGCACATCTGAGAATGGATCAGGTTGTGTGTTCAAATCACGCTGATGTCACGCTTCTTATGTTGAATGTCATCAACGCAAGAA